AACCTTTACAATGCTAACAGTTAAGCTGTTGGTAATTAATGTGGCATTTTATGGCTAGCTACAAGTTTAAATATGCATGAGTCAAGTTCAGCGTTTTGTATTTAGACATTGATGAAGGTGTGAAAGTTATAAGAAGGTTGCCGTCTACAACTGAGTCATTGTGGGCTGTATTATGTAAAACTACTGTTTCTACCTGAAAACATCCAAATGTAGAAACCATTTATGCAAATGTTGTCATTGAAGCCTTTACACTAGAGATGTTTCTGCAAACACGTTAATACTTTCCTGCTGGTTTTGACCCCAGGAGGCACCAGAAAAAGTCATATTTGGTTACTGGAGGTGACAATTATGCTGTAAATAACCAGAAAAACTCATAAAATTACAGTGTGAAGAAAATTTGGCACTACTGTGACAATTTGGAGATCAGAGTTTTCAAACGGCAGGAGGACACTTTGGTCTTGGCTACGTTTAAACTAGCCGTTAGCTCGTCAGTCATGCAGCCTGAGTGCTGCAGTTCTCTAACCAGTCTGTTGAAAAAGCTCCGTACGTTGAGATTAGTGGACAACTTATGACAGTCACAAAGAGACAGAATATCCCTTTACGCCAGACCTTTCCGAGCCCACTCTCCAGGACACATCAGCCTTTGGGTTGCTGCTCCCAGACAGGCACTCCAGCGTGACCAGCTCACCCCGACGAAGCACCTCCTGTTTGGTTGTGATCTTCATGCTGACTGCTGTAACTGTACAGTCAGGGTTCAACAAGGACAAACTCCGTTAAATATCAATAGGTTTTAATCGCCACCATTTACCTAACATTAATATCGATACACATCTCTGCTGTGCATGCCACGGATAAAGGTCAGGTGGTATTTATGCTGCAGAGCTGCAGCCTAACTCACAGTGAACCAGGAGCTTTGTCTGTGCAGAGATGTTCTTCTTGGCCTTGTTGGTGGCCTCGCAGCGGTAGGTGGCCAGGTTGTCACTTGGTGCCAGCTCCAGGCTGAGGACTCGAGCTACAGCCATGTGAGAGGACGTCTGCGACTCTGCGGAGTTCACCAACTTGTCATTCTGAAGGAAAACAGACGATCAGGGTGTTTGCTGGAGAAATCATGTAACGTTCAGGGGAAAGCTTTTATCTCTAACCTTGAACCAGGCCAGGGTAGCGGCGGGATTCCCCCCCGTAGCGTGGCACACAAGAGTGACCCTGGAGCCTGCGTGAAGGGGGATGTCTTCCGGTGGTGAATCCAGCCAGACTTTTTGAGGAGGGTCTGTTTCAAAAGAAGGCACATTTTTACTAATTTGATTCATGTTAATTCATGTAATCTGAAAGAGATAGCTCAGATAATCTGAGTCAGGCTTCTGTGGAATTATTTAATCTTGTTGGGGCAGCAGCAGCTCAGGTTGTAGAGCGGGCAGTGTTGGGGAGAATACTTTGTAAATGTATTTAGTTACAGAATACTGAATACTTGCTTTAAAATGTATTCTGTGATGTATTCTGTTACTTTGTTTAATCTTGGTACGGTATTCAGAATACTCAGAATACTTTCCCATAAAAACAGCATTTAGGTCTATTAAATATCACAATATGTGTTGATGACTACTCCCGCAGGAAAGCAGGGCATATTAATGCTAAATGTCATGTACCGACTGGGGAAAAAATAAAACAATAAAATTATTTTTGTTACTTTATTAATTATTGAATTTCCCTCTGGGATTAATAAAGTATTTTTGAATTTGAATCAAACAGTCAATAGAAAATATATTTCTGTTTCTGTGAGAAAGTGCTTGAACATTTCACAGCATTACTGTCTGCAAGAAAATGTAATCTAGACAAAACACTTCAAAATAATTGGGACTGGCCAATCACAGCGCATTTATTTAGAACAAACAATGTGTTGTTTTTTTTAATGTGTTGTGTAGTTTTTCCAAGATGGAGTGGGGGACTGCCTCGTTGACAGACATCCAAAGCAGTCCAATCACAGCGCTCTCTATGTTTGATGGGCCAATCATAGCACTCGGTCAGCCAAGTGGGCAGGATGTACCTGCAAGTTAGCAAACCGAGACGGCCGCTGCTCCGTAGTGGTTCAATCACAGCGTTGTTTTGGTTTGGTGGGCCAATCACAGCACTCTGTTGGTGGACGGGATGTCACTGATATAAAGATGGCAGTGGATCGTTTGAAACGGCTTTGGTTTTCTTTGAGTCAAGGGGAGATGGATGGAGGTACTTAAGCTTATTTTGAAAAGGACGTATTTGCATCTTTTTTGATGGAGTAGGGCGGACCCCATCGTTGACGTGACATCCGTAGGGATGAGTACGTCTGGTTGTTTGGTATCCAATAGCATGCGGAGAAAAAACGTAGAACCCTCCCCGCGCTTAGAGCAGAGACTAGATAGAGAGCCGAGAGCCGCCAACGGACCGTAGATGCTGCCCGACAATTTCTTTCTTTATTTATTAAATTTCTCTTTCATCTTTCGGGTGAAAAGTGAAAAACACACAAGTATTCCAAGTATTTCAATGATGTTACAAAAGTAACTGTATTCTAAATACCACGTTTAAAAATAGTAACTGTACCGGAATACAGTTACTTATAATTAGTATTCTAAATACGTAACAGCGGTACTAGTATTCCGGTACTCCACAACACTGAGAGCGGGTTGCCTCATGATCAGAGGGTTATGGGTTCGATTCCAGCTCCCGCCAGGGGTATTCTGCTGTTGTGTCCTTGGGCAAGACACTTCACCCAACTTGCCTGTGTTGGTGGTGGTCAGAGGGGCCGACGGCGCCAAATGGCAGCCTCGTCTCTGTCAGACCGCCCCAGGGCAGCTGTGGCTACATTGTAGCTTACCATCACTAGCAGTGTGTGAATATGAGAGTGAATGCAAGTGTCTTTCAGTCCCCTAAACAAGCGCTATATAACTTCGTTATATCATCATCATCATCATCATCATCATCATCATCATCATCATCATCATCATCATCATCATCAATCTTTCATCTGAGTTTTCCATCATGGTCATTGGAGCAGAAGTATCATGATACAGGACACGCCTGGGGGCTGCACCCAGCCTCCAGCATAAACTGTTCTGTTCAGCTACCTTCATGCACAAACTGCTGTGGATTAGATTAGATGTAATGTCACCATTTATGGTAACGTTACATCTAATCTAATGAAATTAGCATGTCAGGCTGACCAGAGCTAATCTCTGTTTCTCCAAACTGAGGTTGTTCATATAACTCTACAGTAAATACAAAATGACCTGTTCAGTTTTTTATAAATTGTCTTTAAACCCGTTTAGAAATATTTGTGGCCACAAGTCGTGTTTCTGCTGTTTTGACAATAATGAGACAAATAAAATAGATAAGACGCATTACTGTTACACTTTTACCGGATTAGGTCAGTGGTCTGGGTTTTATTTAGCACCTTTTAGGGTTCTACCACCCCCCAAGGCGCTTCACAATACAATCAGCCATTCACACCCTGGTGGTGATGATCTACAACATAGCCACAGCTGCCCTGGGGTGCACTGATGGAGGGGAGGCTGTCAAGCACAGGCGCCACCGGGTGGGTTTATTGTCTTGCCCAAAGACACAACAGCAGCATTCTCTGCCAGAAGCTGGGATTGAACCTACAACCCTCCGACTACGGGGCCACTGCTTATCTCTACTGCTACCATCGCTGACTGACATAAGAGATGTTTGAAGACAATGAGACAGGACACACGTTTCCAGATGCTTGAAATCCTAGAAGGTGCTTGAAATTTGAAGGGGAACAAGGCAGTTTTGGCCTGCCCTTAGCACCCCCTAGTGTCCATTTGTAGAACCGAAAGCAAAACGTGTCTCCTCCCTATACATTTGTTTTTTCAACACCTTAATCTAACAGCTGAAATGTCTCCCAGCCTTTCTTAGTGTCAACAGAAGTGAGTCATCACCAAATTAAACACATCAGCTGTGTTCGTGATCTAAAGCAGCCTTTCTCAAAAGGGGGTTCGCTCACCCCCCGGGGAACGTAAAGAAACTCCAGGGGATGCGTGAGAAAATGTACATTCATTTTAAAAAGTAGTATCCATGGAAAATCTTTAAAAAAATAATTATTTGATAAATATTTTAGGAAAATAGAAGTAAAAGTTCGTAAAATGTGTTTTATATTCAGTAGAAGCAGGCTAAATCCATTATCCCAAAATCCCAGAGTCTCCCCCATACCAGGATGGTTAACTCCAACCTGTCATATAACGCCTGGCATCACCAGTCAGTCACTTGGATCGGCGATGGACACGTGGCTGAAGCGCAGCAGCAAATCTTTGGAAAACACGGAGGGACAAGTGGCCAAGAAGGCCAAACCAGAGCCGGCTAAATTCCGGCCGTATCTTGAAGATTATGTTTTATTTGGATTTACTTCCACAAGTTGCAACCCACCCAAGGCACTGTGTTTTTCTGTGGGTAGAAATTAGCTAACAGTAGTATGAAGCTAGAACTCCAGCATTTTAAACCTGTATGACAAGGTGGGTGGCTTCCTGAAGAAAGCAGAGCTGTGGAGGAGGGCCTGTGCGCAGGAGGGTTTCACCTGCTATCCTCAGCTGGAACATTTGACCAAGTTTATTCAGGATTTTCATTCCTATTTTCCTGACATGGAGGAGAAATCTGCACAGCTGGACTGGGTGAGAAACCCATTTTTCCTGTCTGAAGCGAACCGAAGAAAGCTCCCTGTCACCTATCAGGAAAACTCTTGGAAGCGTCATCTGACCGTGGCCTCCAGATGAAGTTTTCCATGTGCACTCTTTCACAGTTTTGGGTGCATGTGAAGCAGGAGCACCATGACATGGGACAGAAAGCTTTGGAGCAACTACTACCCTTTGCCTCCACATATTTATATGAGGCCTCCTTCTCTGCACTGACACTGATCAGAGAAGCAGACTGCGTCTAGAAAAGAGCTCGATCACAGCAGTTGCCTCCCTGCCACCAAGGATGAAAAAGATCCTCAGTGAAGCACAAGCCCAAGTGTCTCACTAGAAGGTCTGTAAAAACACTCCATTCAGTGCAGTAATGTTAAGATTTCAGTCTTCTTTTTGATTTATAAGAATTTATGTTGAGATTTACATTTGTTTATAGCAATTGTTTTTATTTAAAATTACGTTAATGATTTCTTTTAGAGAACAGATGTACTATGATCCCAAAAGAGGACACTTTATGTTGATATGTTTTTTATGTGCACAAATCTTTAATTATAATTAGCTTAATCATTTCTTCAGCCTGTATTTGATATTTTCTTTTAAATATTTCTAGTCTTTGAACATCTTCGGTGTGTTCTTGCTGTGTATTAGTTCTAATTCCATGCTGTCGTTCTTTTTAAAACACAGAAACGGTTTTGTTACCTGTTTTGTCGCTACGTTTCGCCGGCAGCTGCAGGCTTCCTCAGGCTGACGCTGATGGTGGCGCGTCACTTCCTTCTCTGTTCATCCGCGGGCAGCAGAGGACGTTGTCGCCCTCTACTGCCCGCTCTCCCCTCTCCGATGATGCAATCCCATGCGTGGTCCAACGTGTACACTCCGTCGTCCCCGTTCCGACGTGGATGTGGGACCATGAACAGGGACGACGGAGTGTACACGCTGGACCGCGCATGGGATTGCATCGTCGGAGAGGGGAGAGCGGGCAGTAGAGGGCCACAACGTCCTCTGCTGCCCGCGGATAAACAGAGAAGGAAGTGACGCGCCACCATCAGCGTCAGCCTGAGGAAGCCTGCAGCCGCCGCCGAAACGTAGCGACAAAACAGGTAATGAAACCATTTCTGTGTTTTAAAAAGAACGACAGCATGAAATATTTCTAGTTATATATATATGATTTTTCCAAATAGTTCAAGAGACTACTAAAAATTTGCAGTTTTTTGCACATTCGTGGACTTTTCAATGGGTAATCTTATGGTTTTAAATAGTTTTATGGTGACTGTTTTCAATTAATTAATTTGAATCACATTTTACTGATGAAACATATTTCCAATACATTTAGTTATGGAGTACCATCAATCCTCTAATACAGGCCTGGGCCTGTATTAGAGGATTTACGGTATTAACATTTAAAATATTCGAAATAGTTATTTTTTTTCCTCTAATGGTTGAATTTTGTACTTGTTCATCAGTTCCAAAGTTTAATGAATCAGTCACTGAAGGCACCGTGCTCTGTTTAAGGTCTTTTGTTTTTTACAACCAAAAATGCTTTTGAGCTGATTAGGGGTACTCAGCTGAAAAAAATATTTCACAGGGGGTACATCAGTGAAAAAAGGTTGAGTACCGCTGATCTAAAGCATGCAGATAATGTGCTGGAAGCAGACTGCAGTGCCAGGTATGTCGACAGAGTTCCAGCAGAGCGCCCCACCATTCTGGAGTTGCAAGTGGAATATTCTGGCCACGGGGGCGATCGGGGCTGGGTGACCTTTCATTATTCCTGTAAAGGATCATTTTAGCACATACTGGCTCAAGAAAATGATTTTAAAATATGAAAAAGTCGCAAAGTATCTTTTTACTGGGTTTTCAAAGTACTCAGAGCTGTAATCGAAAGAGGAGGTAGCATGATGACAGTAACTTTTTGGAGCATTTTAAAACAAATAGTCAGTTTGAGCACATTTACTGTAAATGTGTGTGCCTGACATCATCATTGTAGGGTTCAGGATAACATTACAGTTAATCTCAAGGCTGAAGCATTATTTACTAAATGCCAGGAAGGCTTGTGCGAGGACTCACACAGAGAGGTGCACTTGTTACCATTCCTCATTTCATCTCTCTTCTAACGTTTGTTTCTGATACATGCTGTGAGTGTGAAAAGGAAGAAGGAACATCTGCTACCAAAGCAGCGGTCGGATGAAATTAAAATCACCGAGCTAGCGTGCCACATCTCACTTACAAAAAACACACATTTTTGTGCTTTCGACTTTTGATGAGCGCGTGCCGTTGTTAAAAGCCTCACAGGTCAGTTTCAGTCCGTTCTCTATTCTGGAGACCCGGTGGGTCACGTTGGAAGTCGTTGTCATCCCTCCGTTGTCTCCCTGCAGACACAAAGCACACAAGACAGTTCTGGCATCCTCGGCTGAGGAGGAGGGAGGAAGAAAGCCCTCACACTGGTTCGTCTCGGTGAATACAGACGGCAAATTAGCCTCCATGATGCATGCTCAGTGATAAATACACATATTCATCTGATTCTCCTGCTTTGCACCCTCTGTTATAAATTGAGCTGGGTGTCATTTTGCACCTGCCTGATAGTAGTCATGCCTATGCAGCACATCTGGTTATTAAAGCCATTATTGTGGTGAATACGGTAAAAGCCAGTCAGGACGACTGACAGCGACGCTGAAACAGGAGCGTCAGTCTTCATCAACTTCCCACTGTTTCACATGCATTAAAGCTCCCATCCAGCCCCACTGAGTGCTCCACGCCAGATCAAATGAAAACGCTGCTGCCAGATGAATAAAGAGCTTGTTTGATAATACTCATCTTCCGTGTCAGCTTTTATTCACTTTGATCGTATTAACATACACAAAGGAGGAGCGCTGTGGACGACTCTTTCTGGAAGCGGCTGACTCATCTGTGAAGCTGCAGCGGGCCTGTTCAGAGGCCGCTCGTGGTCAGACGCTTGCTTCCCCGCAGGGTTCACATCAGGTCAGATTTCATACTGAGCACACTTTTAATTCAATGGGAGGCTTTGTAATAGCATTTTGTTGGTAACCCAATAGGGAGCTTGTTATTTGCCCAGTACCATTTAAACAACGATTATTTACAAAATAAGAGTAGAAGTGAAACAACACGAGCGGTTTTAAACACTCGTCTTCCTGCTTGGCTAGAAAAGCTCTGGCTTGGTTTAATTTGTGTGCCGTGTAAGTCTAACCTCTTCCACAGTGATGACGGTGTTGTTGAGCTCCTTGGATCCCAACCACCAGCGAATGTGGACGTGAGGATTACTGGAGGCGGCGTGGCAGCTCAGAGTCAACTCCTGCCCCTCGGCGGCCTCGGGTGAACCCGACAGCTTCAGCTCTGCAGGATTGACTGATGAAAACGTTCACAAGCAGACACACAAAGACAAGTAAAAAAATAGAGATGGCTCCGTGAATGGCACATTCAACAGCTGTCTGTTCTGATCAGAGCAGCAGGCCGACTATTTTAGGATGTGAAACACGGAGCTGCATCAAGGGTGAGGGGGAAAACCACTGTGAGTGGCAACTTGTTTCCTCCAGGGAGGGGAGGGTTTCATGGTGGTTTCTGAAGGGCGGGGGGGGGTGGGGGGGGGGGTACAATCGCTGCAGGCACTGTGATGCAGCTGGAGCAGAACCTTCAGGGGAATCCGAAGGCGGGGGAGCGGCTGGACGAGGCTCAGTGAAACACGCGGGGTCACGTATGTAACTCTTTCTGTCTGCACCACAGTCATATAGGTTGTATGGTAGAACAGGCATGCTTATACTACACCAGGGAATAGTCCGTGCCCTGCGGCGCTCTGCTGGTGCCTTACGCACAGCCACCAGTTCATTTCAACATCCCTGGATGAATGATTCCTGGGAAACGAGGAGCGTTGGTAAATCCTCAGTCACATAGACGAAACTCGAGCTGGAAGTTTCTGGAACAGTTGATGCTGCTCATTTCCACCTGAAATACCACCTAAACCAGGAAGCATTTGATGATCTGGCTTTAGTTGTTTGGCTTGATAACAGAAACGAGGCTGCACTAAGGATGATTAACATTAATTCTATATTTGTTTTATTGTAGCTGAATCAAATATCTTAAACTCTGACGGGAAAAATAATGTCATAAACATGGTAGTCTATTGTTGCTGAGTCTTCAGCGCCTCAGGTTAGCTGTGAGGGAGTCTGAAACATCAGCTGCAGCCTCGTGACCATAACTGTTATTCATAAATTTAACTTCTTTGTGCCCGTTTGTTTAATAATCATAATCAGCTGGTCCCATGCTTGTGCGTCCAGAGGTGCTGGGGGCAACACTCCACGCTGCTTTCACTCACAGAAGACCGTTATTTTGCGGGTGATGGACAGCGGCAATGGCGAGACCAAGTTGACACTTTCACAGGTCAGCTCTGCCTGGTTGTCCGCAGGGGTGATCTTCAGCTTGAGGACACTTCTGGATTTCTGCATCACAATGTCATAAGACGTAGAGAGAACCTCCCCATTCTGGGAGATGGAGAAAGACATTAAATCAGAACTTCAGCAGCATTAGTGGAAACCTTTAGTTTGTCATCCAGTTAAGAATGTCCTGAAATCCAACAAAAGCCTAAAACCTAACAATCGGTCAGCTGTGATGGAGCAGAGACGTCGATGCCGCTGATGTGTTGCTGCGGACCAGGATTGTTGGCATATGCTAAACTTGTGTGCTATAGCCTGTTAGCTTAGCTGCTTTTATAAGATGCAAATAATCATAGAAATCTATGAAAAAAGAGTGTCATGAAAAATCTGTTAAGTTCAACAGTTAATGAAATGAGCAAGAACCACTAAAATATTCTGTCACGGTGTGGAGGGAAGGTGAGGGAGGAAGAGCGGATCCTTCAGGCAGGTGAATCAACCCAGGCCAGACAGCAGCAGACATTTGGTTCCTTTTAATGGTTAGGAGTGCACGACAGGGTAGACGGATGTGAACATAAACTGACATGTAACGAGTACAAACCGACAAAACCACAAGCAACACACAAGGCTTATATACACACTGGGATGGGTAATCAGGTAAGAGGCAGGTGGACACAATTATGGAAAAACTCAAGGCACAGGGGAGCAATAATGTGACATATTCTGGATTTAATTCAAGCTCACTTATATGTGGATTACACTAAAGTGGTCATGTTATGTAAAACTAAACTTTTGCACCCTGTTGTGCAGCTGTGTGGGTGTCTACTGCCTCTAAACACCCCAAATGTGACACAACCCATCAATTTGTTTTTCGTTATTGTTTGCTTTCAGGAACCGTGTGCCTCAAACAAGCCAATTAAAAAATAAGAACCATCTCTCACGCTCAAGAGGAAGCTGCTGCTGGAGGAGGAGCAGCGGCTCTACTCCGAGCCCCTCTCAGATATCGGAGCTTCTCAGCTTATAGCAGCCTGAGTGGGGATGAGTGAGCGTGGCCATCTCCAGGTTGTTTTCTTAAAGGTGCAATCTGTGCTCCTGGAAAAGTTGTTCAATCATGCTAAATAAAAAGAAAAGGCCCGACCCCTTCTTTCAGGTTGCCCCCTTGGGCAGTGACCCCCAACTCCCTTCCCAGAGAGGCAGTTTTACTGCGTATCCTGCTTCAGCACACCAGATTTTATTCAGAAGGTAATTAACAGGCTTCTACAGAGAGCTGCTCAACAGGTGAATCAAGTGTGTTGAAATGTGGAAACAACTAAAACAGGCTGAATACATGCCCTCGGGGAAGGGAGTTGGGGACACTGGTGTAGAGTCACAGAATCTGATGGCTGCAGAATATGATGCAGAACAATCTGACTAACTAACCCTATTAATAGTGAAAAACGTTGGTTTCTTCTTAACGTCAACAAAACCACAAGAGCTCAGCACCGGCAGCAGTCTGGAGAATCCCCACCACTCCAGAACACAAACCAAACACGCACGCTCATTTTCACATTGCATAAACAGCAGAGTTTTCCAGAGAATAACTCCATCACGTGATCATTTTCCAACAACAGCAGAACCAGATTCTGAACAGAACATGTGCAACTCTTCATGAATGAGATTCTGTCCGTGACACAGGGAGTGCTCAGCTGCGCCAACAACGAGTGTTTCTGTATGACAGACGTTCAGAGCAGCACTTTATGGTGGATGGGTGATGAGTCAATGACACAGGTAGTTGGCCAGCGCTGGACTACATACGCTTTACCAGAACCATGTGATCTAGAGACGAATAAAATTACAATTAAAATTGAATAAACATTTCCTTTACTGGTTGCCATCGGTTTTGATCTGTAAATGTTTCAGAAAAACATCTCAGAATGTGCCTTTAAAGTGACAGAGCCCTTAAACGGCTCATTCTGGAAGGTACTAAAACTGACAAGAATGAAACAGCTCTCCTTTACATAATTATAATATAATATAGCTTTTCCTCTGATTTAAGCCTTTAGATCTGAAGGTGTGTCATAGTTTCAGAGCTGTAACAGCAGAACAGACGGATTTACCTTTGACCACTGGAGAGAAGCTCGAGGATTTCCGCCATCAGACACACACTCTAACACGAGTAATGTCCCTGCCCTGACCTCATCTCTTTTCAAACCTGTGATATATGGGGGATCAGGTGGATCTGTCAACAAAGAAAGACACAAAGGAGTTTAATTAGGGACTTGGCGATAGAATAGCAATCCCTATTGAAAAATGGGAGGTGGATCAATCAGTTAGCTTTGACCAGAACTTCTGGTCCCAAACTTGTTTAAAAACTTTTAAAATGATCAGACACTCCAATTTACAATTAATTCAGTACAAAATTCTACACAGAGTACACTATACAGGTCATCGGATGTTCAGGATGGGGTTTGTGTCTTCTGACACCTGTACACACTGCACAAACAACATTCCTGACAATGGGCTGCATGGTGGCGCAGTGGTTAGCACTGTTGCCTCACAGCAAGAAGGCCGCAGGTTCGAAACTCGGCTGTGGCCTTTCTGCGTGGAGTTGCGTGTTCTCCCCATGCATGCGTGGGTTTCCTCCGGGTGCTCCGGTTTACGCCACAGATCACAACATCCCCTATAGGTTAAAAATTGTACGTCGCTTTGGATAAAAGCGTCTGCCAAATAAATAAACATAAAAATAAACATAATTACATCCACGCACTGTGGTCCTGTCCACCTGTCCAGGATATTTGGGGTTGAGTATGTGAAGATCTGTCAAAGTGTCTGAAATGTCATATCCCAACCACCCCCCCTCTTTGTTTACTGGGAAACCTGGACGATGTCCCGATTAAAACATCTTTGGTTCACGTGGTTCTGACTGCCATATGCATCGCTAATTCAGTTCAATTCAATTCAATTCAATTTTATTTATAAAGCGCCAAATCACGACAAGAGTTGTCTCAAGGCACTTCACATGATAAACATTCCAATTCAGGTCAGTTCATTAAGCCAATCAGAAATAATGTTTCCTATATAAGGAACCCAGCAAATTGCATCAAGTCACTGACTAGTGTCATAGTCATAGTGTCCGACGTCATAAAGCAACAGTGGAGAGGAAAACTCCCTTTTAACAGGAAGAAACCTCCAGAGGATCCTGGCTCAGTATAAGCAGCCATCCTCCACGATTCACTGGGGATCGAGAAGACAGAGCAGACACTCACACACACACACACACACACACACACACACACACACACACACACACACACACACACACACACACACACACACACACACACACACACACACACACACACACACACACACACACACACACACACACACACACACAGAAAACTATTCTCATGAATTGGAAAAAAAGAGAAACTCTCTGCATTAACCAGTATAGAAATCTTTTGTTAGATCATATTACACTTGATACAGCCTCTGCTTCCACTTCAAGTCAATCTCTCTGGGCCCCTTTGATCGGTTGAGCGATGTTGGGGGACCATTGATATTGTTCTGCTGGATGATGTGGGTGATAGGGTGGAGGGTCTGAGTTTGGAGTATCCAGATGTTCCCTGGAGGTGGGTTCACTGGGGGTGTCTGGGACTGGTGGGCTGCTGCCCTCCTCTGTAGGTGCTTGGGTTGCCTCGGGGGGTGGTACTGGCGGTTGCGCGTGGGGCCCCCTAGGGGGTCTTGGCGGAGGTCATGGGTCACTGCCTGGCAGCTGCATTGCCCCTGGGCGGGTCTGGGTGGGGGCCTGGGGGCTCGGGGTGTGGGGGGTGGCTGGCCCCTTGTGGGGATCTGGGAGAGGCCTTGGGGGTTGGGTTCTGACATGTATGCTGCCGGGAAAAAGCCAGGAACATGCGGCAGTGCCTGGCCCGGGCTCAGGGGCCTCGGGCGGACCTTGGCTCCTCTGCTGTCCCATCACGGGGGAGGGGGATGTCCAGGAGGGGGAGGACCCAACCTTACCTGGATGTCCCATGTCTTAAATATTCTGGAAGCTGTGCAAATGCAGGGATGGGAGTAGATATAGGTGCCAATTGGGGCCAGCTGGCTTCCTGGAGGACTTAGGCCAACCAGCCATTCCTCCCCATCCCAACACATTTTTCTCCTGCTCCCTGGGGCTGCATGGTGGTGCAGTGGTTAGCATTGTTTCCTCGCAGCATGAAGGTTGCAGGTTCAAAACTCGGCTGCGGCCTTTCTGCGTGGAGTTGCGTGTTTTCCCCATGCATGCGTGGGTTTCCTCCGGCTACTCCGGTTTCCCCCACAGATCACAACATGCCCTATAGGTTATAAATTGTAAGTCACTTTGGATAAAAGCATCTGCTAAATAAATAAACATAAACATAAACATGGACATTCTGCTGGGGTGGGGCTGGGTTGGTGCCCTCGGACTCCGTGAGGCTCTGTGATGCTGCTGCTTTGGGCCCTGGCAAGATGGGCTGGAGTCTCCATGCCCTGGGTGGCATTGTGGCAACAGAGGTGCCTATTGGGGCCAGTGGGGGAGCTGGCTCCCTGGAAGACTTAGGCCAACCAGCCATTCCTCCCCATCCCCGCACATTTTTCTCCTCCTGCTCCCTCACATCATCACACAAACATGCACATAGGACCTTGGGGGGTGGATAAGTCAGGGGGTGCGGGTATGGACCCCATTTCTGCATTCCTGTGGCAACCTGCCCCCCAATTTTATTTGCACCTTAAACACTTCCACCAACGACATTCCACGCAAACACACACTTAGGGCCTTGGGAGTGAGCACATTCAACGGCATTTGGCAGGGGGATTTTTCAGCCTCATCCCGAGTGCCGGTGCCCACTTCCAATTTTAAACTGCACTTAGACACAGAGGGCTGTGGGTGCAATTGAGGTGGTGTGGTGGCATCAGCTGGCATAGGCCAGACATTGCCCGCACTGCCCGCTCACCACAGCCATGGAATACACCTCATCAACACACATTAACACTATATTGGAGCAGGTGGAGGGAGACTAGGGGTCTTAGCACACCTCTGTTGTCGCTTGGCTTCCTGGGGCTGGAGACTAGGAGGGAGATCTGGCATCTGGTTGGGGTGTGGAGTGGTGGGTTGCTGTGCTCAGCGTTGGGTGGGGGTGCCTGCTCATCAGCACTCAGGCAGAAAGGGTCGAACTCTGGGAACTGGTGATGGTTGTACCCCTTTGTGCAGCAGTGCCGGGACCAGAGTGAATAGGGTGTGTATGGGGAGCATGAATGGATGTCCGGCGTGCATTTTTGTAAGTCTTTGGTTGTATGTGTATGTGTGAGCATGAGGGAGGGAGTGTGTGACTGTGTTTGTGTATGACTGTATATGTCAGGAGGGGCCTTTGACTCCTCCCTTCTCCTGGGACTTCTTTTTATGATATAGATCTTCGTCTCCCCTCTCCCTGCCACACCTGGTGTGGAGTGTGGTGCCTTGGTCTGCCTGGGTTGTGGCTCCGGGGTCAGGGGGTTTAAGATTGTTGGCGTCTGCCTGATCAATCCCGGTGGCTGCCTGGTGGGATCTGGGTCCCTGGGCTCTGCTGGGCCCCCGGCGGGGGTGGTCGCCACTGGGTCCCGGGTCGCTGGGTCCAGGCCTTGGCCGGCTAGGGGGTGGGAGGCTGCGGGCGGGCCTGTAGGCTTGCCGCCAATATCTCCCGGGACTCTGCAGGCTGCTGGTTGTGCTCCCCCTGGGCGATCCTCTGCACCTCTTGAGGGGGGCAGGGGCTTTTCTGGTTACAGTCTCCCAGGGGTCCCTGTGCTCTGGGGCAGCTCCTGGATTTCTGGGACTTGGAGCCCCTTCCATCTCCTACACATCTTTAGGGGGCAGATCTGTGGCCCCTCACACTCTCTGTTGGATGCTCCTATAGAGAAACCTTCCATAAACAAGCGCATGTACACACACAGGTGCTCACATGGTGCTCTCAAAAGTATGGACTTGGGCACGTTCAACACAGGTCTTAAGGCTGTGGTTGGCACTAAAAGCACTGTGATTTATTATCGTGTGATTGTTCAGTAAAACAGTTTTGATTTTATATTTCCTCATCAGGCTGATGCAGTGATAGCTTGCTCCTGTTGTATTGTTGTGTTGTTTTTCTCTTCCTGCAGGTCTAGAAGCAGACTCTTGTTCATCACTGACTGTTCATTTCTGTGGACCCCCCCCCCCCCCCCCCCCCCCGCCTTTTCCTTTCTCTTTCACCTCTGTCTCCGTGTCTGGATGGAACTAAAACATATTCAAAAACAATAACAATAAAGTTTTTAGTATCAGGCGTGACATTAAAAGCAGAAGCTTTGATGCTCCACCTGAGAGTAAATCTGTAAGGCTTGTTACCAGCATTCAGACGTTAATTCGGTTTGCTTCACAGCCAGACAGGACATGGAAAAATAAATAAATAAATAAATAAATAAACAAATAAATAAATAAATAAATAGGGACTTGGCAAAAGTAATGAGATGACATGAAAAAATAAAGAAATCTGGGAAACCTCAAAGGGTGAGTGTTCCTATTTGCTGAGACAGGACCAGTAAATTGGTCACGTTTAACATGAATGTGGGTAAGAGGTCCAGATCTGAAGAAAACATTAACTATTACTAGAGCACTAGAGGATCCAGGCCATAAAGCTAAATAACAGATGTTCAAACAGTAATAAGGCTACGTAAAATATGAATAAAATATGAATAAATTACAGTCTCCTTGAATAAAATATATGCAGTAAAATAAATTAGAAAAGGATGGGCCTTTGTTATTGCTGCAATCAGTTTCAGAGAGCAGACTGCAGACCCTGGGCCAGCATGAAAAATTACCTCCTTGCTACCAATCTGGCTGAAAATGGCCACTGCTCTGGCTTTGATGGGCTGGCACGCTGAGTCACACGGCAGCGGTGGTCCCAAGTTCTGCAACATTAGCACTTCAGCCAAGAGCCCGTGTTGTCTGACACAAAAATGGAGGAGGAGGGAGGACTGCTCACAGTTAAAGGTTACAGAACTGTAGCAGCTGCATCTAATGTGGAGAAGCTTCGTGGAGACAGCGTCAGACTCAGCATCCACCGGCAGAAGCATCTAAAGTCCACTCAGAATACAATAAGTGTGTGTGTCTTTAACATAATGCATCTTAAAAGAAAAGACTGGATGAGGTGAGAGCCAGCTAACACTTTAGTGTTGCTGTGACTTCACGTTGTCACACAGTTTGAGTTGGTAATATGGAAGAAAGAAAACCAAGAGAAACTCACATTCCCTACAGTAAATGTAATTAAAGCTAATGAACACGAGTGTTCCTCGGCCGGCTATGCAGGATTCACGGTTGTAACAGGTGGTCAGGCTTTCAAAAGGCTATTAGTTATTCTAACAAGGTTAAAACATTTGCATCAGAAGCCTTGCTGCTGTAATCCATCTAGGGCTGCCTCATAATGGTTCAGTGTAAGTAGCTGTGCCCAAAATGGCCTAAACGATTTTAGGATGATTCTAAACAGCAATAACGGCTGAGCAGCGTCCGTTTTCAGGATCTCTAGCCATCCTCAGAGTTCACCGGCGTTAGTGACGTCACTTCCTTTTATCTGTGGGCAGCAGCGGACGGTGTCGCCCTCCACTGCCCATGACACTGTCCCACGTGTGATCCAGTGTGAATACACCATCGTCTCTGTTCGTGGTTTTGTGCCCACGTCTCCAACCGCTTCACACCGGTGATCTCTGACGATCTAGAGATGCTAGCTGAAACATGTCAGGTAAAACATTTTATTTTACTTAACTGTGTAAGAAAAGAACAAGAAAATGGAGAACAAAGATAAAGATGGAATGAACGTACAGGAAGTGCAGGGTAGTGTGCTGTTTTAGAATTTTTAGCTAGTGTCATAAAAAGAAATGTTCTGGTGTCATTTCCATTTATAGGGGCTGCAGGACTGCCATCAATGACTGGACGTTCACAAGGATGGCCTTCTTGAATGTTTTTTTAATATATTTTTTTAAATAGGTGTGATTTTGCCTTCAAGTTGAATGTTTCTTCCTGGACTGTGAACATGGACTGAGAGCACACGACAGGAAACCCCCTGGGCCTCCCCGAGGACAGTTGGCTTCCTGAGCAGCTGTGTGTGTGTGTGTGTGTGTGTGTGTGTGTGTGTGTGTGTGTGTGTGTGTGTGTGTGTGTGTGTGTGTGTGTTGCAAAAAGAGGTTGAGAGGAACTCACAATACACACTCATGGTCATCTCAGTCACCACAGGCTGGGAGACGGCAGCATTCTTGGCGTGGCACGCTAACTGTCTCCCGTCGTCGGAGCTCAAAGCGGTGAAGCTTTCAGAGATAACAAAAGAAACAGCATGGCTAAAAAGACTCACACAAAGTTCTGCAGACGTCTCATAACCAAGCCGGGAGTGGAAACATCGTCTTCTTAAAGAGAAAAATCACAAACAGTCAAGCAGACGGAGTCCGGTATGAGTAAAAGTCCTGATCTAAATATAAAATAATACACTTGTTTAGAGCTGCAGTTTTTCAGACGCAGGATCAAGATTGTAATTTTCCAAACCAGTGACAAATCAATACTAATCATAATCAAAATGCTCACCAAGCAGCAGTTCTGGTTGATTCGTTTTTCTCCTTGTTAAATTTGCTTTTGTAGGCAGCAGCTATAAACATATTTTCTTACGGAGCAATTAACAGTTATTCAATGCATCTAAATTTCATGTCAGTTGAGAGCAGAACAGGTGATTATTTCTTATTTATTTTCTTTGCATTTAATTTTGTGCATTATTGAATAATCTAAACCACATATGACATTACAAGCATCCTTTTCCATTAAGGCCTCAGTTATGTGGTGATATTTAAAATAGTTTTGCAGTAGTAGCTGATAACTGTCTGACTGGGATCTCCTAATCTGAGGTCTAAGACCTGTTTCATTCTAACTGAGACAAGCTAAAGATCATCTGTACTGAAATGAAAAATATCAGGCTTTTTGTCCTTTAATTGACAAAAATTTGGTGAAAACTTTCTAAACTCAACTATTGTGCACTTATATATATATATAAATATATAAATATATAAATATATATATATATATATATATATATATATATATATATATATATATATATATATATATATATATACACATGACACCGCGGAGGGTGGTCTCATCCTTCCGAGCTCAGGTCCTCTACCAGAGAGGCCTGGGAGCTTGAGGGATCTGTGCGGTATCTTAGCTGTTCCTAGATCTGCTCTTTACTGGACTGAGATGTCTGTTTGTCTGATGCTTTTCCTGGGATCTGCTTTAGTCACTGCTACAGTTTGGGGGTTACTGCCCCGAGTTCTCCGATGACCACGGGTACCACCAATGTCTTCACTCTCGTTCTTCCTTGAGGCTCTGGTACCTAGTTTCTAGTTTCCTTGTTCCTGATGATGCCATCCTTTGGCATTGCCACTTCAACCACAACGGCTGTCCTCTGTTGTTTGTCCACCACCACAATGTCCGGTTGGTTACTTACTATCTTACACCCTGCAGTTCTAGTGGGTTGTCTCAGAGGCCTACAGATGTTGACCTCTGTTGCTCTGGTGTTCAGGGCCTGTTCCTGTGCAGCCATGAAGAGTGCCTCTGTGCTGTCCTTCAGACCAGCTCTTTCCAGCCATTGGTAGGATTTCTAGATATCAGCCGCTTCAGTTATCTGTCTGTGGGACATCCCATGTAGGGGCTAGTCCTCCCATGATGGTATTTCCAGCGTCTCCTCCTCTATTCACCATTGTCTGAGACATTCACTGAGCACGTCATCTGTTGGGGCCTTGTCCTTGATGTACTTCTGAATGAACAGTGGCTCTCACACTCACCAGACCTTGGCCTCCTTCATTACCCTCCATTTATGGTTAGGAGCGTCTATGTCTCAACATGTGGTCTGTATGTCTTACTTTGACCAGCTTGTTATTCCTGCAGGAAATCTGATTACTGGTAGGGCGCAGCTGTTTGGTTTCTCCACCTTGCCACATGTGGGTAAAACATGCACCATGTGATGCAGTCAGCAGAATTACTCTTGTTCTGTTTACTTTGTTGTTAATCTCTCCTACATGAAATTGCAACGCAGTGGCAACTGTAAAAATTATACCAGGTCCACTGCTGTGCATGCTCAGTGTGCTTTTGAAGAAGAAGCATCAATATTGCTTAAGAACTTGGCTCCGAAGCAGGAGAGCTGAACAAAAGCGCCGCTCCTCTGTACCAATGTTATCTTAGAATATGACAAGAGGTTATTATCTCTGACACAGAAGAGACATGCAGGATTAAAGCAATCTATGCTCCTGTTTAACGTATGGGCACCCGGTGAAACAGCGAGCACTGGATCTGTCTTCCTGCTGCAATGTAATTTTGTGCATTTGACAGAAGCTAATTCAATCGCGGGATGCCAAGTAACAGATCACTGAGCGTTGAAATGCACTGTATTCACTAAGACAGAAGCAGAAAATAGGAGCGCTTTGAAAACAAGAGGAAACAAAAACCAAGGCAGACTTGGAGAGATGGAGCGGGCTGGTGAGGAGAGTGAGTCTGGCAGGTGGTTGAACACATACGTTACTTCAGCATGCGTGTTCAGAAGCTTATCCTTTGAGCCAGGCATGGTAAAAGGCGCTCCACCTGTCAGCTCAACTCCATCTGAAGAGACACAAAGGGGAGAAGAAGCACAGGTGGGGGTGAGGGCGGGGGGGTGCTGTGTGTTCATGTGAATCAGAGGCATCAGAGTTTTTCTCATTGTTAACAAAAAAATCTAAAACTGAAAAAATGTGTCAGGGACGCACGGATGAGAAGAAGTAGGCTGACACTGAAATCTTGTTGTTAAATCCGATAACTGATGTTTACCGACACCCCGTTAATGTAAGCAGGGATGTAACAAAATAACGATACGCTGAAATACTGCAGTACTTCCTGTTCAGATACCGGATCAATATGTGAAAACAGTGTATAGATTTTAATAACACACTTTTAGTATAGCGATATATAATATCCTCGCTCTTGTAGTGAGATACACATTAAATCACCAGTTTCTTGCCATACACACCCCTAAATGTAAGATACGCCATACACACATTTACACTTCTGAGATTAATACCATCACTGTCGAAAGACTAAACAATTACACATTGTTACTCCCCTCACCCTCAGATAAACACATAGCAGCTAGATGAAAGTAATTATTATTATTGATATCAGCCCAGTTTACTAATCGGGCCGATACCAGTGTGTTAAACATTATTGACATCGTGTGTGTGGGACAACACCATGCTGTGTAGCTTGATACAAAACATTCATATGTGTCAATTAAACATAATAATGCATTTAATAATAAAAAGAGAATAATTATTATTAACAAATTTTATTCAATCAATTATTAAATCAATTCAATGAACCTGGACACAATGATTTGAATGTACAGTAGTGTGCAAAAAGTTTAGGAGGGTGTAAAAAATGCTGTAAACAAAGAATGCTTTCAGAAATGTAAATATAAATAATGATTGTTTATTTTTTATCAGTTTGCAAAATGCTAAGTGAGTGACCCTAGCCATCCAGCCCAAGTAAGTACGAGCTATCTTCAGCGTGAAGAAGAACAAGAAGTCCTGGAAGTGGGGGTCTGCCCCCACAGAGCCCTGTGGAGAGTCCAGGAGAACATGAAGAGACAGAAGGATGTGAGGGAGCCTACATCCTCAGAAGATCTGTGGTTAGTTCTCCAAGATGTTTGGAACAACCTGCCAGCCCGGTTCCTTCAACCACTGTGTTCACGTGTAGCTAGAAGAGCTGATGCTGTTTGAGGCAAAGGGTTGGTCCCACCAGATGATGATTTGGATTTGTCTTTTGTTCATTCGCTGCTTTGCATTCTTTGATGAAAACTATTTTGTTTATTAATGAAAACTAATGGGAGGGGGAGGATACCAGTCACACCTAGCAGGCCCAAACGTACGGTCAGGGTCTGCTAGGAACGTCTCCTGTCAGAAGACGAAACTCCCACCTCCGACAAAGCTTTGAACATGCTCCGAGGAAGACTGGGGACAGTGAGTCTGAGTGGGCCCTGTTCCATGCCTCCACTGTTGAGGTGGGCAACCAGAGTTCTGAACGCAGGGCCGTCGGCGCTTGTTGTGGCAGCATCCCCTGAACCCGCTGGTGGACAACGGCAGTTTGGAATGCTGTCGAGCAGAAGTGAGAGTCCTGTCGGGTCCGTTTGGTCTGCAGAACTCCAGAAGCAGCTGAAAGGTACCAGCAGAACAAGCAGAATGGCAAACCGGTACCAGGCCCTTTGATACAGGCTCTTAGGTCCGGTGTCGGAGCTTGATCCGCATTGCCGTCAGTAAATCAGGCTTGCTTCCCTTTGTTGGCAACAACAGAGGTCAAACATTTTCTGCAAGTCTTCACAAGGTTTTTACAAACTGTTGCTGGTATTTTGACCCATTCCTACATACAGACATCTTCTGGAGCAGTGATGTTTTGGGGCTGTCGCTAGGCAACACGGACTTTCAATTCCCTCCAAAGCTTTTCTATGGGGTGGAGATCTGGAGGCTGGCCAGGCCACTCCAGGACAGTGTTGGGCAAGTTACTTCAGAACATTATCTATTACTTGTTACCCTCATTTTACAGTAATTCATTACATTACACTATTACTGATTTTAAAATGTAAGGCATTACACTACTTTTGCATTACTTTAAGTTACTTTCACCACAACAACTTCAGTATGAATCTGGTAATCTGACGCTCAGTGAGCTCGTGACATATATGTGGAAGGTGATGTGGTGTCTGAGCTAGGATTGCTGTTAGAAACAGTCAGATATAATAACAGTGCTTTAAAATGACTGTTTATTAAATAAAAGCAACAACAATCTGTACTCTCAGCACGCTGCCATCTTATATTAACTGAACAGCGAGTGAGGTGGTGGGGGCTCCAAGCCTATATTTGCCTTGGTCCTCAAATTCCTTGATACGGCCCTGGATGTGGGACTGACTTCTGGGGTGATCTGATTCTATCACATGTATAAATATTAGATGCTTACCATAAATCCTCTAATACAGACCCGGGCCTGTATTTGACTCAAGCTCACCAAGCTCCAGGCCTTTATTGGAAGGAGGGCTAGTATTAGAGGCAGGCCTCTATTTCTATTTGAGCAAAATGAACTAATGGTTCGCTGGAGTTTTTGACAATTAAAATTGCGCCCACATTTTCAAAGTTAAACACATTTCTTTTAACAACAGTAGTTTCTGCTTCAGCCCTCTCCCCCCTCCCCCTGCGCAGCGGCCGCAAACTCACTGATGCGCCTGCAGCCTCTCGGAGTTCCTGCTGCTCTAAACATTAAAATAATTATTTCATTTTCTGTTCCTCACTTCTGATTACCTTCAATGGTGTCTGTTTGTTGCAACCAGCAGGTACAAAAACTAACTTGTTTTTATTTGACTATTTTTCTGTCCTGCCTGTTTATTATCTTCCTGCATCTCCTCTCAATCCTAAAGAAAAACTGCTACCTGGGTTCATATATATTCACCTTATGAGTTACCTTTGAACTGCAGTTCTAAAAGATCTACCGACCGCAAAAACAGCAGAGTGCTCGCTGCTTACCGGCCGCAACAGTGATCGGTGCGTCACCGGATGACAAGGTGATGCGTCCCGCTCCACAGCGAAACACATCAGGCGCAAATAAAAGACAGAAAACATTAAAGGAAATGAACCGACATGAACGATCGCGTGTCAGTACCGACGCACTGGCACAGCGCGTTGCCTCACCCCCACCCCCCCACCCCCACCCCCCCCCCGAGCGCAGTAGCTTGTCACCTGCTGATAGCAGGCTGCTGTCTTTTCCGAGGGCTGCATCTTGCTGGTCATTATCACGTGACAGCGTCGATGACAGGCATAAAAAGTCCCTATAGTGAAGTCGACTAGTTCATACAACCCCTATTGCTCCCCAGTGTTCTGCAGCGCACGTTCTCTTTGAACTTGATATCAAATTTTCGCCTCCTCTTCGTCTCCGCACGGTTAAATTTACCCTCGCGGTCTATCACTGGCAAATCAAAAGTGAGACGATGACACAACCGCCCCCGTACTTGCTTGTTACCACATTCCACCCGGCCACAATAAGAGACCGACCATTATTCACCTCCGCCGACTCCGACATCGGCCAAAATATGAGACCCGACTGTTAATTGAATACAGGCCTGTATTAGAGGATTTATGGTATATATTATTGTTTTCACTGGTAAAAATGTGTACTGGGGATAAATCTACCTACTTTTTTCTTTTTTTCTTGATTTTATTTGAATAATTTCCGGCCCTTTCTCTCTCTAACCTTCCTGCATGCTGCATGTTTTCTCCGTCTTCCAGAAAAAACTATTTCCTAGACTTCCTACTTTCTAACGATCAGCCAAAGGGATCTTCTCATGCGCGGCGCTCCAGCAGCAATGAGTTGAAATCACCGGGGCACAGATTATGAACTCAGCTGAGGCAAAGCACGTCAGAAAAGCACAAAATACCAGAGAATATGCGCTGATATGAACAATCGCAAGTGAATTATTTTGTTTTAGTGGAGCGATTTTGTGAATGTTACAGCGGCCGCGTGCAGGACGCAGCTGGAGTAGTTGAGCCGTTACCGCTGCGTCCTCTCTGTCCGCAAAGCTGAGTCCATAAATGACGTCATATATGCAGATACTGGATCTTTCTTCGGGTTTCCCGCAATTTGAATTTTTAAGGAACACGTCTTGATTCTGGGTTTAAAAATGCATTGTAATTACCGCGTTACTGACAATTGTACCGAGTAAATATTACCATTTTCTTTCCCTGTAATGCCTTACATTACCACATTACAGCAAAAAGCAATGCATTACAGTAATTAATTACTTTTGTATCGTATTACTCCCAACACTGTCCAGGACAGTGAAATGCTTCTCACGAAGCCACTCCTTCATTACCCGTGCAATGTAATTGAAATCATTGTCATAATTTAATGTCCCTGCTGATGGAAGGAAGTTTTCACTCAAAATCTGATGACACATGGTCCCATTCATCTGTTACTTAACATGGATCAGTCGTCCCTTTGCAGAAAAACAGCCCCAAAGCATGATGTTTCCACCCCCATGCTTTACAGTAGGTATGGTGTTCATTGGATGCAACTCAGCATTCTTTCTCCTCCAAACACAAACATACAGTTGTTTAAACCGTAGGCTGCACACAAACAGTCAAAGCTGGTCACCCTGCATCCACTTTGGAGAGTGAGGAGACCCGTCCAATATGGCGCTGATGCTGTTACGCCCTCCAGCACCCAATGGAGCGTCTACGTATTCAGGTCTATGAACATGACGTGTAGTGTTTTTACCAAAAAGTTCTGTTTCGGTTTCATCTGACCACATGACATTCTCCCAATCCTAGTAAACTTCAGACGGGCCTGGACACGTACTGGGCTAAACAGGAGAACACGTCTGGCACAGCAGGATGTGAGTCCTTGGTGGGGTAGTGTGTTACTGATGGTAGCCTTTGTAACTTTGGTCCCAGCTCTCTGCAGGTCATTCACTAGGTCCCCCCCCCCCCCCCCCCCCCCGTGTAGTTCTGAGATTTTTGCTCATGTTCTGTGATCATTTTGACCGCTGGGTGAGATTTTGCATGGAGCCCCTGATCGAGGGAGAATATCAGTGGTTTCTCCCACTTTCTAATAATTACTCCCACAGTTGACTTCTTCACTCCAAGCTGCTCACGTATTGCTGATTCAGTCTTCCCAGCCTGGTGCAGGTCTTCAACTTTGTTTCTGAACAGCTCTTTGGTCTTGGCCATTTAGTGGAGTTTGGAACGTGAGTGTTTGAGGTTGTGGACAAGTTCCAACAGGTGTCATTAATACAGGTAACGTGGAGCAGAGGATCTCTCACAGAAGAAGTTACAGGTCTGTGAGAGCCAGACATATTGCTGGTTTGTAGGGGACCAAATACTTATTTCCACCATAATTTGCAAATG